GGAGAGAAAGTTTTTCTAAAGGTGGCACCAATAAAGGGTGTACTTAGGTTCGACAAAAAAGACAAACTACAACCTCATTATATCGAGCCTTTTGAAATACTTGATAGAGTCGGGAATGCGGCTTATCGAATAACTTTGCCACCTGAACTATCAGCCGTTCATAATGTGTTTCATATATCAATGATCAGAAAGTACATGCATGATCTTGATCACGTGGTCAATTAAAATGATATTTGAACTTGAAAAATATATTTTACCTTAATAGTCTATGTCTTTCAAAACCTTCGAATCTGAACAAATGGGTTCAAAACGTAAAAGATCGAAATTGGCAGACGGTTGACTAGTCGGAAGAGGCGATCGACGGACGAGAAAAGGCTGTTTACCGGATGTTTCCAACTTCATCTCTGATTGCTTTTTAAATGACCCTTGAATTGAGCTTTCGATCAATGACTCTCAAATTAGATGAACTTCTCGGCTAGCGTATTGTTGAATAATACATTGGAGTACTATATGTGGACTGTGAATTGTGATTTTAACTTTACTACTGTTTAGGTGCTGCTTTGTGATCCATCTGATGATAATGTTACTCTAGTTATAGAAGAACTAAGATGGCGGCTGAAACCAGTAAGTGCTAATCGTGAAGATCTCGAAGATGGCAAGGAGTTTGTTTAGTACACATCCCGAACAAGGGTTGGGATGTGTACTAATACAGTATGGAAAAGTAACTGCCTATGCATCAAGACAATTGAAGTAACATGAGCAAAACTATTCGACGCATGATCTAGAACTTGCGACGGTAGTTCATGCATTAAAAATATGGCGCCATTACTTATATGGAGGGAAGTGCGATATTTACACGGATCATAAGAGCTTCAAATATTTCTTCATACAGAAGGAATTGAATATGAGACAGAGATGATGGTTGGAGCTAGTAAATGATTATGATTGCACTATTCATTATCATTCGGATAAGGCTAATGTTATTGCTGATGCTCTAAGTAGAAAGTCGATGGGACAGTTGGCATCATTACCTACTATTCCGATGAAATTGATCAAAGATTTAGAAAATTCATGAATCGAAGTGATTATCACACCAAAACAAGTCACTACTCATTTAGCAACTTTGGTGATTTGGCCTACTCTTAGATATCGAATCATTGAAGATAGAGCAAAGACTCATTCTTGCAGAAGATCAAGAACGAGATTGATAATGATAAAAGAAAAGATTTTGAAATAGCTTCGAATTAGGTACTAACGTTTAAAGGAAGAATTTGTGCACCTAAAGATGAAGTTTTAAAGAAGGAGATATTAAAGGAGGCTCATTCTACCCCGTACACCGCACATTCCGGTGGTACAAAAATGTATCGAGACCTTCGAGATACATTTTGGTGAAGGAATATGAAAAGAAGTATATGCTTATTTGTGGCAAAATGCATAGTGTGTTAACAAGTTAAAGCAGAACATCAAAGACCGACATGATTATTAAATCCATTAGACATACCCGAATGGAAGTGGAAGAATATTGCAATAGACTTTGTGGTAAGATTTCCAAAGTCAGTAAGAGGACACAATACTATATGAGTAATAGTAGATCCTCTAACAAAGTCCGCTCATTTTCTTCCAGTAAAAATGACATTTAATCTAGATTAGCTGGCGCAATTGTACATTAGAGATATTGTAAGATTGCATGTGTCCTTGTGTCCATTGTGTCTAATAAAGATCCGAGATTTACGTCAAAGTTTTGGAAGAATTTACAAGGAGCTATGGGAACAAAATTGAATTTCTATACAACGTATCACCCTCAATTCGATGGTCAATCTGAAAGGACCATTCAAACTTTGGAAGATATGCTAAGGGCCTGTATTCTGGATCTAGGAATTAGTTGGGAATTGTATCTACCTTTAGTGGAATTTGCATATAATAATAGTTTCCGAACAACTATTGGAATGGTATCGTATGAAGCTCTCTATGGTAGAAGATGCAGATCACCTGTCCATTGGGATGAAGTTGGAGAAAAGAGAGTTTTGAGACCAGAGATCATTTAAAGAACATTTGAAGCCATTGATAAGATCTGTACTAGGATAAAGGCCGCACAAGATAGATAAAAGAGCTATGCAGATACCAGGAGAAAAGATTTGGAATTTGAAGTTGGAGAGAAAGTTTTTCTAAAGGTGGCACCAATAAAGGGTGTACTTAGGTTCGACAAAAAAGACAAACTACAACCTCATTATATCGAGCCTTTTGAAATACTTGATAGAGTCGGGAATGCGGCTTATCGAATAACTTTGCCACCTGAACTATCAGCCGTTCATAATGTGTTTCATATATCAATGATCAGAAAGTACATGCATGATCTTGATCACGTGGTCAATTATCAATCCTTGGAAGTACAAAAAGACTTATCTTATGAGAAATTACCGATTAACATACTGGATCGAAAGGTACATAAATTACGAAACAACGAGATCAACTAGTCAAAGTACAATAGAATAATCATAAAATAGAAGAAGCTACTTGGAAAAGAGAAGAAGAAGTCAAAGACAAATATCCGACACTCTTCGCCAATCCATAAGGTAAATTTTGAGGACGAAATTTTGTTTAAGGTATAAAGGATGTAGAAGCCTGAGAAATAAAATGAAATTAGGCTATTATTTTATGATGGGCTAGCACCACGAGTCTAGCCCATTTAAGAAATGAGCTGTGGAAGCTCAACCCATTTAAGATTATGAAAGCCCAAGACATAAGTTAATTAAAAATCCAACAATTTAAGATATTAAATTTAAGTAAATTTGATTATAAAGTTTTAATAAATAATTGGATTGTCACAATGGCCATCTACATGGTATTTCATATAAGCAACCCAGAGTCGAATCACAATGTAAATGTTTTTATAAAACCTTTTATATGAATTATTTTTTTTATGGCTTAGAAACTCTTCAAATTCTTAGTTGAAAACCGAATTTAACAAATTTAATGATAGTACAACTCCCCTATTTAGTTTTTCATCAAAAATGAAGGTTACAAGAAAAGGTATGTCAATTTTCACTACACCCCTCCTCAAATCCGTATTTACTCATATTTTCTCCCAAAAAAAATATATTTTATGTCATGTTAAGCTTAAGGGAATAATAAGAGTAAGAAGAAGAAAGACTTTCTACACATTTTGTTCTTTTATATCCCAAAAAAATTAAGGTAGGTAAATGTGCAAGTGTTTATTTTTAAATTATGATTTTTCGATAAATGTTTGAATGAAATGGTACCTTCGGATATGATGCTTTGGCACTACAATAGTTTGAATGATTATTCTCCGACTCTATGTGTTATGATAATACAATAGTAATTGAATTTTGTCAAAAATCCATCTACGTGCGACGGTATGATTCTATAGTTCGAAATTTCTAATTTGATAACGAAATGCATTGATTATTTAGTTTCAAACTCATGGGTTAATTCCCTTCCTACAGGTTGAATGAATTTCCTTGGGGCGTGAATAAGGGTAGATGAATATGCAACATGCCATGGAGAAATGTGATTTAATATCTTTAGTTGATTATGAAATGTTTACGTTTTCTTTAAATTAGATTCCTATGGTTGTTATGTGTGAATCTATTCTACGAACATTCTTTATAAATAAGTTATGTTTTAAAGTATATATGTGTTCTAGAAATTTATTTATCAATCATCATTAACCAGTCTCTTTGAAAATTCGATTTTTATCTTGATTTTAAAAATTCATAGCTCACTCGTTACTTAGAATTTTTAGACAAGACCAGTGGCGTTTGATAGCCTCATAGGTTAGCTACTGAATAAACTTAGAATTGTGTCAATACAATTTCGGTAAAATTTTATATGTCACTTAAGGTAAACTGCACTGGCTAGTTTTGCTATGTTCCAGCTTCTGCCCTTGGTTTCAAAAATTTATAACTCGCTCGTTACTTGTGATTTTTGGACGAAACCAATTTGATTTGATGGTCTCCAGGGTTAGCTACTAAATATAGTTAAAATCATATCGATTTGATGTGTGTAGAATTTTATATGACACTTAAAGTATGCTACACTTGGTTATTTTCCAACCCAAGTCACTGCGGGGCTGTAAAAAATTTTTAATACCCTATATACTACCGACGGAAGCCGATTTTCGAATATGTCATATTATAAGGAGTTTTCTACTTTACATTAAAATTTCACGAAGTTTCAAGGTCGATAACTATGCAAACAAATTTATTTTGTCAATTTTCGTTTGAGATAGAAACTAAAACAACATTATTTTTAAAGTTTCGCCAAAAAGTTTCACGTCAATAGAGGTTATCTTTTAGTATTGATTTTTTTTAAAGGTGTATATATATATATAGGGAAAAAAATTGGATTAAATAATTAAATTAAATCTTTATACTTTCCGCTAAAAGTATAGTTAATTATTAAGTTTACGACTAAAGTACAATTAATCTTGTGACGTTTTGATGTGGGTTGGGGCATTGCATGTTTGCTATATATTTGGAATGAAAAACCATTATCATCAAATGGGCTTCTTATGCATTACGTTGTCATGCTTAAGATTGACTATGGAAGTGGCAAAATAGTGTCTACCTTGAGGAGTTATTGTCATATTAAATCATTAACCTCTTTCCCTCTCAATATAAAATCTTTCAAGTTTCTGACAGTTCTCTACTTCAAATTTTGTAGCTGCGCGAATATATTGATAACACAGAAGACTACATAAACATTTAGGTAACGGAAGTGAGCAACTTTCTTTGTTTGATCAATAAACAATTTATGCCACCATTTCATGTTTTTTCATTTCAGTTGTCCAATCGTCAAAATCAACTTATTCAGATTTGTCATGCTTATGGTTAAATTTTGCAGTATTTTTGCTAAATCACTCTTATCATTCTTCACTCATTTTTATTTATTTATAAATTAAATCGTTATATAAATTCTTTCCAACGAAGGCTGAGGAAATGGGACTGGATTGACTACCTGAATAACTTTTCGGTTCTTCGTTGAAAATTATAACCAATTTAGACATATTGGTGCAATATATGTTAGAACATTGATGCAGCCAGAAATCGTGAGATAAGAAATACAATTTCTATCTCGTTTATGCGAACAGGCTGAAAAGCAATTTCTAAGTTCCTTTTGGCTTTTCAAAAGTCCTAAAAAATGGGCTCTAAATTTCTTACTGTTGCATCTCTGACCGGAAGGGTGATAGATAAGAAATTAATTAGGATGATTGAAGTGGGACTTGTAATTTACCCGGAAGGAAGTTCTGTCTTCTAAGCTCTTTATCATCTGCATATCCACATTTTCCTCATTTTAAAATTGCTTCCGGTGAGAAACATTACCTGGAGCATTATTCGGATCAACTAACAAAGACTATGACAATGATTTTCTACCAGAGCCATGCTGTTCTATTGCAGATGCTAAATTCTGACTTGCAACAGAGCCTATTTAACAATTGAGAGAACCATGACTTGGCCAAGTTTGCATTCCGATGGACAATGCATGATTCTCAGACAGCAAGGTTCCGGCAACTTTACTCAAAGTTGCTCTTTGAATCATCGAAGACTCAACTTTTTCCACGATAAGAACCTCAACCTGCAAAGATTAAAAGAATTAGAATAAAAAACTTGAAACATCTCATTGCGGGTACTAAACAGATACATATTTGACCCATGCAGCACCTGATTTGATGGATCTTTCTTGAAACCACCAAATGCAACAAGGAAATCCCTTTCCTTGTGCTGCACAGGAACGAGGCTAAATCCCTGCAGCAAAAATGAAAATCATCCAGTTATAAGAACCATGAAACAAAAAAGAACTTGAAGAACATAAATGAATATGCAGGATTTGTGTGATTGGCTTCATCAAGTTCAAATCTATGTTGAAGGTGAACACATTGATCATTTGTTATGTAAACTGAAGACTTCAAGGAGATTTCTCGGTTTCACTCCAACATCTAAATTACGCAAGTTCTTAATAGAAGTCACTCGTTAAACCATCTCTTTAAGGTTGTCTCAATACACATTATGAAAAGTCAAGTCTCTAACCACTTTGACGGTCAGTCCTGTACCACATGATGACAGTTTCTATTTACAAAGTTTAATTTTAGACTTTGGGGGGGGGGGGGGGGTGGCATACACATTATGAAAAGTCAAGTCTCTAACCACTTTGACGGTCAGTCCTGTACCACATGATGACAGTTTCTATTTACAAAGTTTCATTTAAGACTTTGGGGGGGATGACTTCATAGCGAAATTGAGCTAAAAGAGAGAAAAAAAATGTAACCACATCATTTGCTGCTAATCCAGATAATTATGGCATCTAATAGTGATTAGACTCAGCTACATGCAAATGAAGAGTGTTAAAATGCCCAATAAATCTGCGACACCTATGCAATTTAAGCTCCCTTGTTTGTCTACCATTCTCCAAAAGCTCCTTTTTTTTTCTAGAACTCATTTTTATTCACATATTCTCACAATAAAATATTTTGCACGTAAACCTAAAACTTTTTTCTATTTGTTAACCACACATTCTCCAAAAAATTCACTATTTCAAATCGAATTTGTCCCAAAAAACTATTTTAAATGGGCATCAAACACGGGCTAAGAAACATTTAACACATTATCATAGATGAAAACCAAATCTAACCTTGTTAGTTGTTATGGAAGAAGGAAATGGTGCAACAGCAACAGACCATTCAAGCTTAAGAACGTCAAATATTAAAGTCTCTGCATGTCCTGGAAAAGGGAAAAGAATTGGGGATGAGTGGCCATAAGAGTCAGCAAGACTCCAAAAGTTCTTGACTGAAGCATAAAATTGAGGAAATTTTCAATCAGAGAAATAACAATATATAGAGGCAACTATTCTGATTCCATGAGACTTTGGATAGGTTTAGCTTCATATTTAGGCCATATATGAGCTCCATTGAAATTATAATTCATTTTCCTCTCTCTTCTTATCAATCACACATTCTCCAATAAAATAATACTACATTTAAACCCAAAACTTTTCATTCATTTTTAACCACACATTCTCCAAAAAAAAAATACTATTTTAAAATACATTTTCTCCAAAATTCGGTTATAATGGAGCTCAAACATGTCCCTTAAGCAAATAAAATTATTAAAAGTAAACATGAAGTCAAAAGTTAGCATTTAATTGTAGGCCATAAGGGCAATACCTTTTTTCCTGCTTTCACCACCAGCAATAAACCATTTAGTGCCACAAAGTGCTCTGCAACAACCAGCTCTTGGAGACAGATGGAAACCTCGTACATTAATTCTTGACCATACCATCTGAGGGGAATAGTATTTTGAGTTTCTATATGTTAATTTGATTGCTATAACTAAGAATCCTGCATAACTAAAATAATTCAGTTGAGTTCTGGTGTAAATTTTCTACGAAGTGCCTCAAAATCAAGAAGTACAAAACATTCAACATCCAAGATTTTGATGCCCCGCCAAAAATCAAAAGCATTTTGTCATCATAAAGAGCCGCAGCATGGATGGATCTTGGTGATGGTCTTGGTCTGTGCAGGAGAAAAATATCATTGGAATCAAAATATATGTAGATTCAGGACACAACAGATAATCAAGAAATATAATTTAGCACCACAATCAGACAAGTTAGCAAGAATTATGAGATCTTAAAAATTAAAAAATTTAACGAAGTACGTCGAGAACCAATTACGTGAAATGAAGAGGAAGCCAAGTAATAGACTTCAGATCAAACATATGCAGACAGGGGCGAATCCAACATTAAAGTTCAGTTAGGGCGGAGCTTGACAATTGACCGTTGACCGTCAATAATCAACGATCGTAGCAGCACGATCGTTTATTAAAATTTGATTAAATAATATTAAAAGTTTAGAATCAGTGGTGGGACTAAACTAGAAAAATTAGGTATGGACTTTAGTTTCGGTTGAAAAAATCGTTCCATAATTTGCAAAATGTCTCAATTTATTTTTTAATTAAAATTGATTAAAAAGAGAGTACTGACTACACATGAGAGTACTGACTACACATAGGTTGAATTGAGCCCAACATCTTCTCAATTAAACTTTTTCATTTATTCTAATTTCGTAAACATAAATTCCCAAATCAATAATCATAACTCATAAAACATAAATTACTTATCATAAATTACAATTCTCCGTAATAACTCGCAAAACATAAATCATAACTCATAAATAATAATAAAAAAATTGCCTTTTATGTGAATGTGATTAATAAGACTAATAACACAATTTACAAATTACAGACAACATTCATAATATCATTATTCAACAAGTCAAGTTAAAATAGTCAACAAAATAGAACAAAAACATAAACAAAAAAAGAGAGAAAGAGAGTAAGAGAAATGCGCACACCAGTCACCAGTCGAAGGCTGCTCGAGCTCGAAGATTGAGAAGGGAGGAAACGAGTTTGGACTTTGCAATTTCAGCTTCAAAATGGAATCGATTTTTTCATTTGGACCATTTGTTGTTTTGGGAAAAATAATTCATTCATTGGGGAATTGGTCCTAATGTTTTTAAACAAAAAAGAGGCCCAACTTCTGATGTAATCACTTCAGTCTAAACCAAAAAAAGAAAAAATAAAAATAAAAATCGATCATCTCTTTCTTTCCATCTTCCACCTCGACTCTGCAACTGCAACTGCAACGATTGTTTGCTGATTGCTACCCGGCGGTGCTGAACATTTTGGCGGAGCCAGCACACGCGATCTAGCCCCTTTGCCGGGTGCAGGCTCCGCCGCTGTATGCAGATCATTGAGTTTCCTCCTTTTTGAGTCTTCACCTCCAAACAAAATTAAAACAGAGTTTTCTTTAACAATGGTATGAGCACTTCGAGCAACCTGTAATTGCATTAGTTGTAATTAATACTGGGTGCTTCAATGATACATTCCATTGAATATTTAACAAAGTGAAAACAGACTGACAACATAATGAAAAACTATTGATATCAAATTGATCTTGGATTCTAATGTTATTTTCTCCAAGCAAATAAAATGATGAAACATTTATCCTTCCGATGGAGGCATTCATAAACCACAATGATATTATGATAAATAACAAAAATTAAGAGAAGTTTGTACTTAATGTTAAACTGAAACACAGCTCTAGAAAGTACAGAGTCTAATATCTTGTCTCGATAATCAGTGGCATACTTTGTTTTTCTTTAACTTTTAAATTGTTAAAGAGATTTTACTAAAACGGCTCCCTTGGCTTCCATTAGTGACCAACATTCTATTTCTATGTTAAATGCCCATACTGTATACAAGATAACAATTATTTGGCCTATTGGACATTGTGTACCAGAGAGATATTATGAAAAACACTTAAAAAATGTTGCTGATAAGCGAAAACCCAACCTGAGACTTTGTCACTCACAGGGTCAGTCTTGCCTCCAATTAGAAGCACCTTCTTTCCCCAGGGAACCTAAAAAGTAACCAAAGTGACTATTAGCAATATCATATGAATGACTAGAAACGCATATCACCATCACAAATGGGATTGGTTGAGGAATCGTACGACATGAGTAACATTGAGGTGCATATAGGAAAAGATAGTTACAAGGACTATGAAGGGTAAATTGGTAATATGAGTTTATAGATATGCCATTAATAGAAGACTATTCCACATTCCCGAATGTAGCAAACATCAGCATTAGGCCCTTTCTAGTAAACGACTTTTGTTCCATTGTTGAACATATCCCACAGAAATATAAACGATTTGTTAATTAATCAAGAATTTGCATGAAAAACTGAAGCATGTCTTAGCATCAAGACACTCAAGCAGGAGGAGGAAAACTATAAAGTGCATAACACTAACTATTGAATAACCACCTAGTATAAGAACTTCAGCTGTTAAAGAGAGGTGAGTAAATTAAATATTTATATATCTTAAGACACCACCTCAGGTATTACTCTTCATTTTTCTTCAAATGGGGTGCACGAGAAATTTTCATAGATGGTCGATGGACTGACCTTTTATTGCTCTGATTACATATTTAACAACCACCTCATCGAAAGCTTAAGCGGTTACATAAGAGAGCAATTTATTAATTTGTAATATTAACTTCAGTATTATCTTAGTTATAATTTGCTTATCCATTATTATAATGTTTATCAACACAACACAATAAAGCACATAAATTGTGCTTCTTTTTTCTTTTTTTCTTCTTCTTTTTTTTTTAATGGAGGGTCAGCACCTACACAAATTGTGCTTACTTAAAATACTTTTTGTGGTAAAAAAAATTGAATAAGATTGAAATTGACATTACATAATGCAACTATAACCATCGTAGTTTAGGATTCTACCTGTAATTCATGGATAATTCATATTATATTAATGCTGCTAGGATGTATTCCGATACCAAAGCATGAACCTTGCATACTGGAATTTTTAAGGGAAGACTGGTCGGTGAAAGGTACAGCTTTCATGAAGCTGTCGTCCAGGAAAATCTGTCAAAGCTAAGTACCTGGAAAAAGACCGGTAAGGAATTAGATTCATCTGCTTCAACATAAGACTAACTTTAATGTTGCAAAACTTATACAAGGAAATGATAAAAAATGAATATTCTGAAAATGAAAATTCAAATTAGCATTTGAGAAAATAAGAGGAGGATGAATGGAAGAAAATGTAACATCATGTTTTGTCCCAAAAAAGAAAAGGGGAAGCAACGATTGGGACAATAGCCGGGCATCGTCCAGCAATCCATTTCCAGATTCACCACTGTAGGACCGAAATCCACAGCCAACACGTGCAAAACCGAGCTAACATCGACACCAAAAACTTGAGACAACTCCAACACCACCCTATGCCGCCACCGGTCTGGTTGCTATCAATTGGGAAGGAGAAGACCAAGAATATCAGTATGTTAACCACAAAGGTCACAGTGAAAGGGAAAGGGAGAGGCCGAGAGAGAGAGAGACTCACAAGGAGGGGAAAATTTCACTCTAATGGAGGCCGAGGAAGTGAAGGGATTATATGTATATTGTCCAAAATAGGTAAGTTACAATTAGGGTTAAGTGGTGGATCAACAAACTAGGCTCGACTCAAATAATTGGGCCTCAACAATAATAATATAGACTTCCAAGGAATGGTGCGAGAACCGTGAGCAACACTATAAAATAGGTTACTTCGAACGGTCCATAACAAAGTGGATTGTATTGTCTCGTTAATTGTGTCGATGTACTAATCAATCATTAGGCCGAGGTCGATTGATAATAAACAACCGAGGTTACATCATCGCCCGGGGAGGTCGTTTGACAACAAAATTGCCTAACAACCACCATCTTGTTCCCAACAACTGCCGCTGCATGCTATTTACATAATATTCAAATTTTAGGCAAAGTCTAATTTAAACAAGAAAGTGTATGACAGTACCAGGCATCACTGTATCATATCAAATTCAGTATTCAGGACCAAGATATTACATAGAAATGAGGTGTAGGCTTGTCTCCAGAGACTGAAAGCACCATCCATTTTTCAGAGCTTCCGGAGGTGCAGTTGTTAAGCTCAGGCGCACTAGATGAAGACTGGAAGTTCAGTTCATCGGGTTTGTGGGTTTTAGATGCAACACTTTCCCCCTGCTGTGATTCAAGATTAACCGAGCATGCACTCTTTAATAAAACATTTTTTGGAATTCAATTAAATCCTTACATTAGTGCTGCCTAACTGCTTAGAATGCCTTACTGGACCTCTAGTTCCCTGAGCAGAGTCTGAAAGTTGTACTTTAAATCTGGGGAAAATGCAAGAGTATTAGATTTGTTATATGAAAATTACCTTTTTTTTCTATAATTTACATAATTGTTGTAAAATGAATAATCAAAATGTTTCTACAAACCGGCTAAGGATAATAAATCTAGCTTGCAAATCAATCTAAGATAACAACAAATATTCACGGAACACAATAGTGGTAATTTGAATTCAAATCTGGTTACATGTATGTGATCACTATCGATATAACAAGTATAACCCCACAAGTGCAAACATCCAATTCTGTTGTCTGAATTTCTCGTGACACAATTAAGCATTATATTATTCCCCCACACCTTACTCAAAACGAACAATTTTCTTTTTCATATCTTAAAACATTGCCCAAAACACAAAAAGATAGTCCTAACAGACAATATTTAGCTTAAGCTTTTAACTTAGATCAACCAGTTCAACATGTTACCATGGCAAGCAAAGGTCCTGGTTCAAGTCTTGCCCCAACTCATTAACTCATTTAATGAATTGTACACCTATCACGCTTAGACATGAAAAGGTTGCGTTAAAGACAATAATTAAATGGTATATATTTGGTTCTACCTATTTGCTTAAACTTTTAGATCAAACACCATTTGTAATTGTAGTACAATTGTACCTAAATCAATAGCTTCGACATTCTTCTCATTTGCCAGGGGAAAAAAAAATAACCAGAAAAAAAAAAGGGATCATTTTCATTGATAAAAAGTAGCCCATATTTAACAACATGATTAAAAATACATCCATTGATTCTAAAAAAATTTATCCCATACAAATGCATTTGTTCAGCAAAATATAAGCACAAAAATGTATAAAGTACACATATTTAGGCAATATAAGTACATTACCTTCCAAACTTCATTCTTCTTCTTGAAAACCCAAACATTTTGTCGGTTTCGAAACCCTAAATTTCCACTGCAAAACAAAAAGGAATGGAACTGTTTTGCGCGGGTAGTCGCTAACAATTAAAAAGGGATTAGACGATTGTGTAAGGAACAAACCTCTTGAGACAAAGTCCCAAAAATGGGTGTTTTATCGGCGATGACTTTACAATTGGAACTAAACAGAATGCCTCCAAGGGGCGTAAGAACACGAGTACTGAAAAGAGATGTTTAAGTCTAAACTAAGAAATTGAAATTACATATTCTCTGTTTGAGAGTGTTTGATTCGGGGTCCTTTGCTTTATGTCTTTTCTTCCTTTTATATTCCCTTGATGATTTCTTCGTGATCAACCGCTTAGAAACTGCTTGATTGCTTTATAACTACCCACTTTCTTTATGGTGGCTAACTTATCGTGGAATTGCTGTCTCTAATTGCTGCCGCTACTCTTTGTCGTTCAAGCGTCTTCAACTGAACTCCTTGAATCGTGGAACGTGATAAGGTTACTTGATAACTGCTTCAATAACTACACTTCTGGATAACCATAACATCTTATATTTGCTAAGATTCTGGGCGATTCGAAGGTTTGGGCGAGAACAGGGTCATAGCTCTGGGGGACTATAAGGCACTTCATTCGCTCAGATCTTGGGCAATTTGCAAGCTTGGGCGATGATGTTACTGTGTTCGTGGGCTTCCACTGCATTCATTAATAACCCTATCTGGGCCTTTATCCTGAATTGCCTAGTTGGGCTTCATTCTTTAGGCTATTTGATTTGGGGATTCCCCAATTGGGTTTCATTCCTTAGGCTATTCGATTTGAGCTGCACTTTTAGTGTGTCAACAATTACCCGCCAATATGGCAGAATTAATACCAATTATTAATCTTTGCCATATTTACTTTGTGTTTCTCAGTAACATTTGAAATTTTCAAGAATTTCAATCATTATTTCCTTCCATTGCCTGAAAAAGTGTGACGCTACAAATCCTTATAAACCCCAAAGACACGCCATTTCGTTGTATCACTAAATCACGTCTCATTATTTCGCGCTTCTTTCTTGCCATACCAATGTTCATCTTCTTGCTTCTCTGCTACGTTTCTCGAGCAAACTTTAACAAAACTGTATTTCATTCCCAATGGCTGCTCCACAAACCCAATTTGACGACTCTTTTAGCTTCGAAGATTTCCAGAAAATCCTCACTCAGCCATATGTAAATCTGAACTTTCTTGCACCAGTCAATGCCGAATTTAATGAGTTCTATCTGGGTCCTTCATTCACCAACGCCGAAGCCGTCGAATAAGTGGCGGTGGGCCAGCTATTCCCTTATACTCAAGGCCCGCTATTCCTGAACTCTTTGCCGCTGAGGCCTATTCGCGAAAAAGGTATTCGCACTTGGCCTAAATCTGATATTGTTTTCTGTAGATGGCATGCTTACCTTGTGGACCATGGTCCTACCAAGGCAATTTTTTATCGTGCTAGGATTTCTGATTTACTAGAAATCTCTCTTCAACTCCCAATTTTTGACCCAGCACTTTTTCTTATTGCTTTAAGTTTTTGGTCTTCTTAATATAATACTTTTGTTTTCCCTCTTGGTCCCATGTCAATCACTTTAAGGGATGTTGGGGCCTTGATAAATCTTCCACCTTTGGGCGACACCATTTTCCCTGGTATTTTGATTTTCGATGTTGCCCCAAAATTTGACAAAAAACTCACCGAGTCCTATTCAAGCTTGCAAAGCTGTTATAATCACTCAAATGCTGAGCCTTCCCACGCTGAGCGTATGGCCTTTCTTCAGATATGGCTTTGTAAATATATTCTCTGTGTGTGCCCAGTCTGAAGCCTTTTATGAGCTATTTACCCATAGCGCACGAATTGACGTGTGGTAGGCCTTTGAATTTGTATTCCTTCTTTTTGGCTGCCCTCTATAGAGGCATGGCTTCTCTTCAATTTCAATTGAAGAATGGTGCATCTCCCACTGGTAGTGGGCCTCTTTGGTTCACTCAATTGTGGTTGAGAGCCTATTTTCCATCACTTGGTGCTCTATCTATGTCCCTTCGCTCTGCTAGCTGCTATGGGTTAGCCATTGACCCATTGAGCCCTGTAAATATGTCTAGAAGGGACATTTTTTCATTCTTTTATACTTTAAATTCAATTCCTTCCTTCTTTCCCTTTCCTGCTCATTTAACTCCAGATTATGTGCAACCTCCATCCACCCTGGACAGTGCGAGCGCCTCTCTGCTCGTTTGGGTTCAATTTTTGACTGGGAAGGAGTTGTTCCATGATATTTTAATTGGAACCAATGCCAAAGCTGGGGTTGAAATATATACTCCCCAATTTTTTGCTCGCCAACTTGGTTTTGGCTAAACTTGGCCTATTCTCCCTTGTTATTCAAAAAATTTGATAGACCGCTTTCACACCATTAATAAACTAGAGGCACAAGCTATAGATGGTCACAATATTCTTTTGACGAGTAACTTTTCATTAGCTCCCTTCAATCCTAGCCGTGCCGTTCACCCCCTTTTTGAACAACTCTGGCCATCAGTGAAGTGTAGATTGTTTGCAACTGATGCCAATCGTACTTTCCATTCACTGGATCAGCCGAACATTCCTTCCACTTCTCCTATTTTGGTCACCCCTGTGTCCATTAGGAATCTTTCCTTCCCTGCTCGTGCTAAATAATCTGTTTGTCCCTCTACTTCTCTACCTGCCAAACCGACTGCAGCTAAGAGTGCCCCAAGCCGCAAATGGCCAGCTTCAATATCTCCCATTTTGGAGGATGATGATGATGATGATGACACTCCTCTCATCGTCAGGAGAAAGGTAATTGAATTCTGTTTACTCACAAGCATACCTTTCTATGTGCTAATGGTTTTCCTGAATTTCTCAGAAAAGTTAAGCCTCCCCTTTGAAGGCTTTGGTGTTGGCAGCTCCTGCTCCATCATCCTCTGCTGGAGCTGCTTCGTCCAAACCAGCTGATAAGATTGTACGTTCCATCCAGGACTTGTTCGCTTCCTGGGGGCAAGTCAAGACGTCTCGCCCTGCTTCAACCAGTCGTCCTTCTGCTTCTTCAGAGGAAGATATGAAGTTCCTCAAGCGGTCGATAATTGAGTATGTATCTTTTATGGACATGGATATCGGTCAGGCTAGTGCTGCCAAACATAAGGATAAATTTGAGCATTTGAATGCGAGGTTGGCGTAAGCACTGATACTTCCGTCGCTCAATATTTCTGCTGATTTTAAAGTGACGTTGAAAGTTGTCCACTCTGACAAGTTCTCTTTGCTGGTCAAAAATGTTGAACTGAAGGCCAAGAGTACTCAATATCTTCGCGCTGCATCTGAAAGAGAGTCTTTGCTCCGGGAGATCAACAAAGCTGAGGACGAATTAAAAGAAATCTCTTCCGAAGTTATGATTGAAGACTTTTTGATGACCAGTTTGGCTGCACAGATGAAGGAGCTTCAAGCAAAGATGGATGACTGCAAGGCGAGAATGGCTGCTAAAAAGCGTAATGCTTCCCAAGGAATTGAGCGAACCAAGTCTTTGGTCGAGTAGTACAAGAAGCTGGAGGTTGATGATGATTTTGTAGCTGAATTGAATTTCACTTCTTCTCAGCAGAGCGAGGATTGGGGGAGACTTAGGGAAAGAATTCGTTCGGTCTGGGACGAATTGTAATTAAGACATCTAATGCCGTAACTTTTCTTTTTGTAACTTCGTATTAACTTTCCTCTTGTAACCTCGTACTGATAGCCATTGCCAATTTTGAATGTAACAGCAGCCATTGTCATTAATGAACGACTAATTTGCCTTCTTGTGTATTTATTGACGTTTGTCCTTAATCGTCAACCCCCAAAGCATTTAACTGCTTTATGATAAGATTCATGTACATTCTCTTTTGGTATTTCTGTCTCTTTTCCCAAGACTTTGGACCCTTTGACTCCAATTACTAGGCACGAATGTGGCTGTTCATATTCTGTCTCTTCACCTTCACGCCCCTATAAATGCACGCATATTTCACACTTTTTATTTTCATTTCCATTCTTTTCTTCAAAAACTAACTTGCTGCCATCGTTTGGCATCTCAACGATCGATCCAAAATTTTCGTCTTCCATAGAAATGGATCATTTGATCCGCCCATTTTGCCACCTGTTTTGATGTCACCTTTGGTATGGGAGATATAGGAAATATTCTTTGGCCAGCAAAGTTCTTCCCATCGTCTCCATGTTCTTTACAAGGAGTTCAATGATAAAAGACAATTTTTGAGGATGCCTGTCAAGCCACCTTGCTTGTTGAGAGTGCTCCTCAGTCTCCTTGCCTGTTATTGCAGCGATGCATTTAGGTAGGCGATGTGAGGGTGCTTCTCTTCTCATCTGCTTGCTGAGAGTGCTTCTCGCCTCTTTGCTTGCCTTTGCAGCAGTGCGATCAGGATGGTAATCAAGGCCAGTTCACCCTCTTACTTAGCGATCGACCGAGAGATTAGTTTGCTCTCAATTGTAGCTTATAGAGCATTTAGTATTTTGTATCTTACAACTTTGTAATGAACGTTTAATAATAAAGGAATTTATTTGAACGTATTTCACTCTGGCCCTTTTTTATCTACGATCGTTCAACACGATTTGATTACGCTTTTATTTGTTCACTTTCCCATAAGGAAGGAACATATTTTTTTAAATATTTGCCATTAATGAACCTCATGTGTTTGGTGCCATCTAAATCTTCCAAATGATAGGCTCCATTAGGCAACACACTATTTACTTTATACGGTCCTTCCCAATTGGACGACCACTTTCCATACTTTGGATCCTTGCTATCCAAAGGGAGTATTGGTTTCCAAACCAATTCGCCCAGGCTGAACGACTTGGCTATAACTTTTTATTATAAAACTTAGCCATCCTTCGTTTTTGAACTTACAATCTATCTAGGACATCCAACTTTAATTCGTCCAACTCCAATAAGTTTTGAACTAGTGATTCGGTATACTCATCATCACTTAACTTATGTTGTAAACACACTCTGATCGATTGCACGTTGATTTCCATAGGCAAAACGGCCTCCTGTCC